AAAGTGTTAAAATTAAATTTTATTGATTAAAAAAATGGGTGCATGAAAAAGCCTTGCCCAGTGCGCACGCACACACACACACACCCCATTGCTGACCTACAGCAGACTGTGACATTAGCAAGAAATAAACCTTCATTTAATGACTCACCTGAGATTTATGGGTTGTTTACTATAGCAGTGAACATATCCAGGCTAATGTAGGTAGGATCTCAATAACTGCTTGAAAAATAAAGACTTTTCTCTAAAGATCCAAGCAACAACTTGGCAGGCAGGCTAGTCTCCACAAAAACACAGAGTATGTCATTATTTTGTCCCAGCTCACATTCTTCCCAGAAACAGTTTCCTTACATTGTTGCTGATGACAATTTCTATCACTTGACTTGAGGCATTTGAACAGTGTTATTATAGACAACAATACAGAAAATTTCGAATAAATGACATTCTCGGTACCCAAGCATGAGAATTCAGCTATTTCCTGTGAGATATACATACTTAGACCAGCTCAATTCATCCTTCTTCTAAAACATATACTTACAGGAATTTCCTTGGTGGTCCAGTGGTTTAAGACTCTACCCTGCAATGCAGGGGATACAGGCTCAATCCCTGGTTGGATAACTAAGATTCTTCAGAGCAACTGAGCCCACGAACCACAGCTAGAGAGTCCATACACCACAAGAAAGGTTCTGCATGCTGCAACTAAGACCCAACGCAGCCAAATAAATATTTTTTAAAGTAAATAAAGAAAATATATACTTACAGATCCTTTGCTATCTGCTAGGCCTGCCCTGCCTTGATGACTGGAGGAGAGAAGATGGAAACAGCCTTCTTTTTTTTTTTTTTTTTCCATTTATTTTTATTAGTTGGAGGCTAATTACTTTACATCATTGCAGTGGTTTTTGTCATACATTGAGATGAATTAGCCATGGATTTACATGTATTCCCCATCCCGGTCCCCCCTCCCACCTCCCTCTCCACCCAATCCCTCTGGGTCTTCCCAGTGCACCAGGCCTGAGCACTTGTCTCATGCACCCAACCTGGGCTGGTGATCTGTTTCACCCTAGATAATATACGTGTTTCGATGCTGTTCTCTTGAAACATCCCACCCTCGCCTTCTCCCAGAGTCCACAAGTCTGTTCTATACATCGGAGTCTCTTTTTCTGTTTTGCATATAGGGTTATCGTTACCATCTTTCTAAATTCCATATATATGTGTTAGTATACTGTAATGGTCTTTATCTTTCTGGCTTACTTCGCTCTGTATAATGGGCTCCAGTTTCATCCATCTCATTAGAACTGATTCAAATGAATTCTTTTTAATGGCTGAGTAATATTCCATGGTGTATATGTACCACAGCTTCCTCATCCATTCGTCTGCTGTTATGCATCTAGGTTGCTTCCATGTCCTGGCTATTATAAACAGTGCTGCGATGAACATTGGGGTGCACGTGTCTCTTTCAGATCTGGTTTCCTCGGTGTGTATGCCCAGAAGTGGGATTGCTGGGTCATATGGCAGTTCTATTTCCAGCTTTTTAAGAAATCTCCACACTGTTTTCCATAGTGGCTGTACTAATTTGCATTCCCACCAACAGTGTAAGAGGGTTCCCTTTTCTCCACACCCTCTCCAGCATTTATTGCTTATAGACTTTTGGATAGCAGCCATCCTGACTGGTGTGTAATGGTACCTCATTGTGGTTTTGATTTGCATTTCTCTGATAATGAGTGATGTTGAGCATCTTTTCATGTGTTTGTTAGCCATCTGTATGTCTTCCTTGGAGAAGTGTCTGTTCAGTTCTTTGGCCCATTTTTTGACTGGGTCATTTATTTTTCTGGAGTTAAGCTGGAGGAGTTGCTTGTATATTTTTGAGATTAATCCTTTGTCTGTTGCTTCGTTTGCTATTATTTTCTCCCAATCTGAGGGCTGTCTTTTCACCTTACTTATAGTTTCCTTTGTTGTGCAAAAGCTTTTAAGTTTCATTAGGTCCCATTTGTTTATTTTTGCTTTTATTTCTAAAATTCTGGGATGTGGGTCATAGAGGATCCTGCTGTGATTTATGTCGGAGAGTGTTTTGCCTATGTTCTCCTCTAGGAGTTTTATAGTTTCTGGTCTTACATTTAGATCTTTAATCCATTTTGAGTTTATTTTTGTGTATGGTGTTAGAAAGTGTTCTAGTTTCATTCTTTTACAAGTGGTTGACCAGTTTTCCCAGCACCACTTGTTAAAGAGGTTGTCTTTTTTCCATTGTATATCCTTGCCTCCTTTGTCGAAGATAAGGTGTCCATAGGTTCGTGGATTTATCTCTGGGCTTTCTATTCTGTTCCATTGATCTATATTTCTGTCTTTGTGCCAGTACCATACTGTCTTGATGACTGTGGCTTTGTAGTAGAGTCTGAAGTCAGGCAGATTGATTCCTCCAGTTCCATTCTTCTTTCTCAGGATGACTTTGGCTATTCGAGGTTTTTTGTATTTCCATACAAATTGTGAAATTATTTGTTCTAGTTCTGTGAAAAATACCATTGGTAGTTTGATAGGGATTGCATTGAATCTATAGATTGCTTTGGGTAGTATAGCCATTTTGACAATATTGATTCTTCCAATCCATGAACACGGTATATTTCTCCATCTGTTTGTGTCCTCTTTGATTTCTTTCATCAGTGTTTTATAGTTTTCTATGTATAGGTCTTTTGGGAAACAGCCTTCTAACCATAAAGGCAAGAACAATGGGGCAAGGGCCTCCCCTGGAAGAGCATGGTCAAGGCCACTGGACTGAGACAGGGAAGAGTGGATTGGTCCTGCATCCAAATTGTTTCGTGAACATAAGCGAGTCTCTAACCTACCTGAGTCCCAATTCCTCCTCTGTAAATGGCCCATGTAGACAGATCTAAGGACAGCAAGTACATAGCACGAGAGCTGCCCCTTCACAGAAAGCACATCAGTCACATGATCCATGGACGCGGCTTCAGAACAGTTTCCAGCACTGAGCTCCAGGCCACCGCTAGTCCAAGAAACCTGCTAGCTACCTGCTAGAGTCCCTGCTAGGACCGCAAGGATACCCAACCAGTCCATCCTAAAGGAAATCAGTCCTGAATATTCATTGGAAGGACTGATGCTGAAGCTGAAACTCCAATAACCTTGGCCACCTGATGCCAAGAACTGATTCATTGGAAAAGACCCTGATGCTGGGAAAGATTGAAGGCAGGAGAAGAAGGGGGTGACAGAGGATGAAATGGTTAGATGGCATCACCGACTCGATGAGTTTGAGTAAGCTCTGGGAGTTGGTGATGGACAGGGAAGCCTGGCTTGCTGCAGTCCATGGGGTTGCAAAGAGTCAGACACGACTGAGCAACAGAACTGAACTGAACCCCAAATAAGGCATCTTCTAGGTTTCCATTAAGCATCTCTGTCACAGAGTCAGAAACCAGGAGAAGGTCCCAAAGAGATCTACTCCCTGAACTCAGAAATGTCTCAGACTAAGAGAGAAGCCAAACCAAGCAGAACGATTTTAGAGACAGCTTGATTGGGACTCCCATGGTTCTTCTCCATAGCATAGTGGCTAATAACACAGACTTGGACGACTTCCCTAGTGGTCCAGTGGCTAAGACTCCATGCTCCTAATGCAGGGGCCTAGGTTCCATCCGTTTGTCAGGAAACTAGGTCCCACATGCCACAATTGAAAATTCCTCATGCCACAGCTAAATATCTCATGTGTCACTATGAAGACAGAAGATCCTGCCTGCTGCAACTGAGGCTCAGTACAGCCAAATGATTACATGAATATTTTTTTTAAAAAAGAACATAGACTTGGGAGCCAGACTACCCGATTGGAGTTTGAAGCCTGATTCCACTTATCAACTGTCAGAGCTTGGGCAAGTTATGGATGCTTTTTGTGCCTAAGTGTCCTCAACTGCTAATATAAGGCTTAAAATGCCTAATATCCATGATACATCTGGGACAACAGCTAGTGTGTATTAAAGTGTGTGTGTGTGTGCACCCTAGGTTGCTTCAGTCATGTCCAGCTCTACTCTATGGACTGTATCATCTGTGCACGGGATTCTCCAGGCAAGAATATTGGAGCGGGTTGCCATACCCTCCTTCAGGGGATGTTCCTGATCCAGGGATCAAACCCACGACTCTTACGTCTCCTGTATTGGCAAGTGTGTTCTTTACCACTAGCACCACCTGGGAAGCCCCATATTAAAGTACAAAGCTTGTTAAACCAACTATCTACTGAGCCCTGTGGCAGTTCTTCACCCCCAGGGGATAGTGAAGGAGTGAGGGTGAGGTTGGGAGCCAAAGATTCTGCTGAAGAGCTTAAGCGAGGATTTCCAAGACTGGAGACCTTATCCTGTTACCCCAAATACCCTCTGACCTCCAGCTCCCCTACACCCTTGTTCTGGGGCCTGGAACCAGAACTAGTTACAGGACACATCCCAGCCTTGAGATCTTGAGCTAAGGCTGAACCAGTCTCCCCTCCCCACTGGGCTCGTGGTCTTTCTATGACTAAGGAAAGGCTTATGTCAGAGGGTTAAACAGGGCTTCCCAAGTTGCTCAGTGGTAAAGAATCTGCCTGCCAATGCAGGAGATGCAGGAGACGTGGGTTCAGTCCCTGGGTCAGGAAGATCCCCTGGAGTAGGACATGGCAACCCACTCCAGTATTCTTGCCTGGAGAATCCCATGGACAGAGGAGCCTGGTGGGCTACAATCCATGGGGTTGCAGAGTCAGATACGACTGTGCAACTGAACATGGGATAAGAAATAAAAATCATATCTAAAATGTGGCAATAGAAAAGGGTTAAACATATTCCCACTGGGGTGGAGGTCAATTTCCTCTCTGAAATCTTGGCTCTCCAGGCTTTCTTCACCCCACCCTCAACACATGTGCAGGATGTGAAATCGCTGAAGGATCTACTGCTTCCTACTTCCCTTTGAAATCCTAGTTCCCTTACTGAAAAAAAAAAAAAAATTTGTCCCAATTAACATTTCTCAAAACTTCCGAAGCCCAGAAGCCTCCGAAGCCCCTACGAGGCTACCTCTCCTCCTGCAGCTGCTCCCTCCACGAGAAGATGAAGGTCTCCACGGCAGCCGTCTCCTTCGTCCTCCTCCTCAGCACCACTGTGGCCCTCGGGTCCGAGAATGAATCCTCTTCAAGTGAGTGCAACACCTTCCAACCTGGGCCCTGTGGGATAGCAAGCAGGAGCCGGGTTGCCGGGATGCGAAGAGAAAGGGGCTCCAGGAGGAGGTCTAGTGTCTTGTTTCCTTTATTACTGAAGTATAGTTGCTGTGGGCTCCCCAGGTGCCTCAGTGGCAAAGAATCTGCCTGCCAAGCAGGAAATGCGGGTTTCATCCCTGGATTGGGGAGATCCCCTAGAGGAGGACATGGTAACCCACTCCAGTATTCTTGCCTGGAGAAACCCCTGGACTGAGGAACCTGGCCGGTTACAATCAAGGGGATGCAAAGAGTCAGATACTATTTAGCGACTGAACAACAACATAGTTGCTATACAAGGTTGTATAGACTTCCCAGGTGGGACCAGTGGTAAAGAACCCCACTGCCAGTGCAGGAGATGCAAGAGACTTGGGTTGGATCCCTGGGTGGGGAAGATCCCCCTGGAGGAGGACGTGGCAACGCACTCCAGTACTCTTGCCTGGGAAATCCCATGGACAGAGCAGTCTGGTGGGCTACAGTCCATGGGGCCACAGTGAGTTGGACAGGACTGAAGTTAGCTTAGCATGCATGCATACACAAGGTTATATTACTTAAGGGGTTTAATATAGTGATTCATAATTTTTAAAGATCGTATTCAGTTTACAGTTATAAAATATTGACTGTATTCCCTGTGTTGTATAATGTATCCTTGTGGCTGATTTTATGCTTAATTGTTTGTACCTCTTAATCCCCTAGCCCAACTTTGCCCCTCCCCCTTCCTTCTCTCTACTGGTAAACACTATTGTTCTCTATATCTGTTAATCTATTTCTTTTTTGTTCTATTCATTTGTGTGTTGTGTTTTTTAGATTCTACATATAAGGATATGATACTGTGTTTATTTGTCTCTGTCTGGTTTATTTCACTTAGCATGTTATGTTGCTGTGAAAGTCACTCAGTCGTGTCTTACTCTTTGCCACCCCGTGGATATAGTCCGTAGAATTCTCTAGGCCAGAATACTGAAACGGGTAGCCTTTCCCTTCTACAAGACATCTTCCCAATCCAGGGATCAAACCTGATTCTCCCGTATTGCAGGCAGATTCTCTACCAGCTGAGCTATCAGGGAATCACTTAGCATAATACCATCCAAGGCCAACCAGGTGGCTGCAAATGGCAATGTTTCATTCTTTTTATGGCTGAGTAGTATTCCATTGTGTCTGGTGTCCTCTTAAACTGGTTTCATCCTCACATTGCCCAGGACCAGTCCCCTCCCTGCCAACGCCATGCAGTGAGGCCAGGTTATCTCTTCACTCCCTCCATTCCTCTCTCTTTGCCATTAAACTAAAGACTGGCCCATCCCATTTGGCCTCATTATCGCCCAGGAGACTGGGGAGATGTGTTTGGGACCCTCAAGGCCACCTTGTCCCTTCACCCCCTGGGATTTGGGTCCAGGCTGCTTCCAGGGTCTCCCTACCCCCCTGAGTGCAGCGTCCCTTAGGCATGTACTGGGGAAAGCAGCAGCTGGGGAGGGGTCTCCTAGGCGATCATCTTTCAGCTTGTTTCTTAGGATGCACTGCCTTTACAGGCAACCCAAGCTATGCCTCACTCTGCAAATTTACCTCGTTTCCTTTTTAGAATCTCAGGGGAAACATAGAAGGCTGTTGATATAAAGCTAGACTAAACGGGGCGGAATGGGGACAGTCTGCTTTGCTTATCTGAGGAGTCACTGATCAGCTCAGAGGAATGCAGTGACAGTGGTTCTCAGGGACCAGGGGGTCCCTTATTCCACTCTTTAGGGGGTGGGAGTGCTGCTGGGGATGGCACTGAATAAGACGACCAGCCCTTCCCTTGCCACCCACGCACCTTGGTGAGCCCAAGGCCATCGCTGTGCACACCCACATTTCTGTCCAGGTCGGTCACATAACATGACGGCCCCAATCACTGCACCCCCTAACTGCAAGGCCCTTGACCTGAACCCCCTCCCCTGCTGCCCCTGCAATTCAATCTTGGAGTGACTTTCTTGTTACCCCCTTGCACCTCCTACAAGAGCCAAGAAATCTCAGAATCAAAAAATAACTGAAAAGTACAGTGATTTTTTTGTAAGTGTTTTAGATCAGGAAAACTTTTCTTCCAGCAAAATCTTACACAGGAGGCCCAAAATGTAAAATAGGGGGAAAAAGGCAGATGGGGTCTTATACCCATTCCTCAGCTCCCAAGTGCCTCTGTGCCTCCAGGAAGCTGTGTGTAAAATGCAGTCAACCACCTTGTTCACAGATGAGGAGATGTGGGGGGTGATGGGCGCAAAGCCAGCAGAGACTGGGTGGGGTTAGAGCTGGGAGTCCTAGCTCCCTGGCCATTGTCCGCGGGGCTTGGTGTGGGCATTCTGCCCTCTTGGCAGGGCGTGGGTTCAGTGAGGATCAGGCAGGATGGGGGCACTGGGAGGGATATTGGGATTTTTTCCCCCTAATATCCCTTCTCCCCAGGGACGCCGTGTGCTCACTGAGATCTGGGCTTTGCTGCTCTTCCATCCAGGGTTCAAAGTCATCAGCCAGTCCTTTGGGGGTGGGGTGGCAATTGTCATGGTCTATGTGCAGGTTAGAAAGGAATTTCCAGACACAAGGCAGAATGAGAGGAGAATAAAGTTTATTAGAGCAGGAGACGCTGTTAGACCAGAGGGCTGGCTCAAGACAGAGCCAGTACCTTTCATGGGCTGGTAGCCAGTTTTTATAGCCTCAAGACAAAGAAACTTCCTGCTAGAAGGGTGGCATTAGGTGATCGGTTAGGATGCTGTAGGATGGGTATTTTTATCTAATGTGGGGTCAGGGAGCTGGCCAGTTTAAAGCTGGGGGGCTCATGACAACATAGCTTCCCTGGTGGCTCAGCTGGTAAAGAATCTGCCTGCAATGCAGGAGACCTGGGTTTGATCCCTGGGTCAGGGAAGATCCCCTGGAGGAGGGAATGGGAAGCCCACTCCAGTATTCTTGCCTGGAGGATTCCATGGACAGAGGAGGCTGGCAGGCTACAGTCCGTGGGGTGACTTTGGTCAAGGACTCCACGGGGGTGAGAGAATGGGAAGAATGATTGGTGATGAAGGAGGAGAAAAAGAGGAGCCCTGGGATTAGCCTGAGAGGGAGGCCAGAGGACTAAGCTTTTTCTACAGCCCTCTCTCTGAATTCTGGGGTGCTCTCCTTCCTTCCCTCCTGTACCCCCTAGGGTTCCAGAGGCAGCCAGCACCCCGCATCTTTAACAAGCACCTTGATCTCAGCTTCACCCCCCTCTTTCTCCTCAGAAGGACTTTACCACTCCACGGAGTGCTGCTTCAACTACGTGAGCCGGGCAATCCCCCGGCAGCACGTTTCAAGCTATTATGAGGCCAGCAGCCTGTGCTCCAAGCCTGCAATCATGTAGGTGGCACCCACACACCACGCTGGGGGAGGGGAGTCTGTAGGGCTGGGAGCACCGTGGGGGGGGGGGAGAAGGCAGGATGGGTGCTCCCCAGAGTGTGCTCAGGTGTGTCCACAGAGAGGAAGCAGCACGGGGTGGGGTGGGGAAGCAGACTTGGGGCTCCAGGGCCGTCTGGGGGGGCCTGCTGGAACCATGGATGAGGGTGTGGGGGGGAGGGGAAGGGGAGGCAAGGGACAATTCCTGGGTGGGGATGCGGAGACTAGACGGGTCCAAGGGGCCCTGAGGGGCTGAAGGGTACATCTCAGAACAGACGCTGGTCCTGGGCTCCCTCTAACTAAGGAAGGAGAACCAGTCCGGGCGGGATGAGGAATCTGTGAAGAAGGAAGGACTGGGTCTTGCTTCCTGGCTGCCGGAGCCTCGGTTGGTCATCATTCTCCCATCTCCTTCCACAGCTTCATCACCAGGAAGGGCCTTTACGTCTGTGCCAACCCCCATGATGGCTGGGTCAGGGACTATATCAAGGAACTGGAGGAGTGACCCAGAAGTAATGGAGAAGGACACAGCTTGGGATTTACAGAGAGGGCGCTGAACCCCACTCCCCTCCTCCCAACTCAGCCCCAGCCACCTCCTGAGAGCTGCCCCAACTTGAATTAAAGAGCAGTCAGGCCCTTCCCTGCCCTCATTCATTTCTACTAAATTTCCCCGCTGGAACTGGACCTGAGGACACTGGTGAGCCCGCTCATGGTGGCACCCTCAGCCTCATGCTTAACTCTGCAGAAGTTTGGCCAAAGTCTGGTGCAAAAAAAAAGGGTCAGGCCTGCCGTGAGGTAGAGAGAAACTGAGCAGGAAGTGAGGAAGACACTCTGTATAAAGGCTACCTTGAGACAGTAATAGCCACAGCAATAACAGATACCATTTTTGTTGCACCTCCATAGTCCAAGCACTCTGCTAAGCAGTCTATGTGCATCCATTTATTTAAGCTTCACAAGGAAAGTTTGATTTTGCAGCTAAATCTTCATAAAGGCCTCTCTATAGCAGTCAAATTCCATAGTCTTTTTCTGTGCTGGTCCCAAGGCCTTTGTTCCCCTGCTGGCTAAGATAGGAATGATTCATGGACATATTTTATCCAATTCTTCCCCATCCACATACACACATCAGGTTGCACTATATTGTTTTATTCATTTTTGTGTACTGCACAAGGCATAGCAAAAAGTCTGGCCCACATCAGGTGCTCAGGAAATGGATAGATGAGTGGTAGATGGATGGATGGGTGGTGGATGAATGGGTGGATGGATGGGTGGGTGGATAGATGGATGGATGGATAGATGGACACATGCACGCATAGATGGATGGATAGTGGATGGTGGATGAAGGGGTGGATGGATGAATGCATAAATGAGTGAATGGATGAATGGATTGTGGATAGATGGATGGTGCATAAATGGGTGGGTGAATAAATGGATGGATAGATTGGTGGATGAATGGGTGGATGGATGAATGCATAGATGGGTGGATGATGGATGGTGGATGGGTGGATAGACAGAATGAGAAAGGAACCAAGAGGAAGCTTGTGCGCCAGCTGACCCCAAAGGCTCTCAGACTCATCTTCCAGGTTCAAGGAGCTCTGCATACACAGAGGAAGAGCATGCCCAGTGCAGACACTATGACCACTCTCTCTGGCCTCCAGCCCTCCACAGAGACCAAGAGGGTGCCTGCACAGCAAAGGTACAGCAGGCTTTCCTGCGGTAAAGCCACAGCTTTACCACCACTAACAGCCTTGAGCCCACCAGGACTAACTGCATTGCCCGTTTTTCCCTATTTTATAAGCAAACTTGCCAAACAGCAAGACCCACAAGGATTTTCGACATCCTTGTTTCCGCATGCCCGCCCCCCGCCCCCACAACTCCCATCTCCTGAAATACTCCCTCATGCCTCTAGAGGTCACAGTCCATCAAAGATAAATCCCCTCTTTCATTTCTTCTCTGAAAGCTGCCTTCAGCCTGGAATAGGGCTCTGAGGCAGTCTGAAGAAAGAAGATACGGAGGGGCAGGTCTGCGGGCCGACGCTAAGTCGCTTTGTAGCCCACCAAGTTCCTCTACTGGAGTGGGTTGCCGTGTCCTCCTCCAGGGGATCTTCCCAGCCCAGGGATCGAACCTGCGTCTCCTGCATTGCAGGCGGATTCTTTACCACCAGGGAAGCCTGAGGCAGCGGGCCCAGCTTTAGCCAAAGCCAAGGGCAGAAGCCGGAACTCTGGGAGCCAGAAGCAGGTTGTCAGGTTCACTGTGCTGGACGGCCCTCTTCTGGCCATGATTGGCCACGGTGGCAGACTGGATTAACCCACAGTAGGGGCACCCAGGGGCTTCCCTGGTAGCTCAGACGGTAAAGCGTCTGCCTACAATGTGGGAGACCCGGGTTCAATCCCTGGGTCAGGAAGATCCCCTGGAGGAGGAAATGGCAACCCACTCTAGTACTCTTGCCTGGAAAATCCCATGGACTGAGGATCCTGGTAGGCTACAGTCCATGAGGTCGCAAAGAGTTGGACACAACTGAGCGACTTCACAACAAAAAAAGGGCACCCGGGCTTCCCAGGTGGCGCTAGGGGTAAAGAACCCGCCTGCCAATGCCGGAGACCTAAGAGAAGCTGGTTGGATCCCTGGGTTAGGAAGATCCCGGGTTAGGAAGATCCCTTGGAAGAGGACATGGCAACCCACTCCAGTATTCTTGCCTGGAGAATCCCAAGGACAGAGGAGCCCGGCGGGCTACAGTCCATGGGGTCACAAATAGTTAGACATGACTGGTTAGACATGACTAAAGAGACTTCACCCACACGCACGAGGGCACCCAGGAGGGATCAGCCGATTAGACCTGAAACTGGTTCCCAGTCCAAGGTCCAAAGAGGTAAATGAGAGCATCGACAAATGAGACAAACATTTCAGCAAACAGGGACATAAAGAGCCAGCACTTGAGGAATTGGAGAGTATTAGTAGCATAATCTGCGACAAGAAAGTGTGAGTTCCATCGTGTGTCCTTGGACAGGGGACGAGGGGGACATTCTTTTCTGAGATCACTAAACCCTGTATAGACTGTGTTGCCTCAGTCTGTGTTCTCTCTAACCCTGCTTTCTGTCGGCCTCCCGAAGACCGATCACCTGGGGAAAAGGTCGGTTCAACCTTCCCTCTTCTTTCCCACAGTAGAGATGGGGGCAGGGAACACGATGAAGCCACAGATTCTGTTTTGAGGACTGCCTATCTGGCTCCATGGTAAAGAATCCGCCTGTCAATGTAGGAGATGTAGGTTCAATCCCTGGGTCGAGAAGATCCCCTGGAGGAAGGCATGGCAACCCACTCCAGTATTCTGGCCTGGAGAATCCCACAGAGGAGCCTGGTGGGTTATAGTGCATGGGGCCACAAAGAGTAGAGTCAACTTAGCGACTAAACAGCGTCTACCTCCTACCCATGTGAGATTTATTTAGCCTCTCTAAGCCTCAGGGGCCTCATCTGCAAAATGGGAATAAAGTCTCTACTCCCCACTGTGAAGTTTAAGTAAAATAGGGCCTGAAGGGAGCTGACACCCAGCACGTGATCTCCACACCTTCCCTTTCTCTTTTCCTTCTCGCAGATGCAAATATTAGCAAACTCAACTGGGCACCAGACCCTGCCTTCCACTGCCCTCCCTTTCAGCAAACACCAGGGGAGGACCGTTGTCTCTCCTCCACCCACTCTGGAGTGATCAGAGTCCAGAGAGCTGAGGGCCCCGTGTGGATGATCAGCAAGGAAAGAGACTGTGTCCGCCCAGCCTCCTCTGGAGCCTGACTGCCCACTGAGAGGATGAAGGTCTCCATGGCTGCCCTCTCTCTCCTCATCCTCACCATCACTTCTGCTGTTCACAGCCAACCAAGTGAGTCCACCTGTCCCTGGCAGGCGGCAGTGAGGAAGCTGAACAGGGAGCGGGCAGCGAGGTGATGCCAAGAGTGCTCTCAGGACTCCGCCATCAGCCCCAGGCCCCCTCCCCGCCTGCACCCGTAGCTCCTGCGCACCGGCCCCTTGTAAGCAGAGCTGAGCTGTGGTCCAGAGCTGCTGGGGTTGGGCAGCTTCAGGAAGCTGGGTCGAGGTCACATCAGGAGTCCTGAGGACACAGCAGGAGTGATCATTTAGGAGGAAGAGCCAAGGAAGGAACAGAAGGGACAATCACAAACGTTTGTGATGAGGAGGAAGGCGAGGCAAGTGGGTGGGAGAAGCTACGCCTGCTCTGGCAGGGCAGCATGGAGGGAGTCAGGGAGGCAGGTGGAGGGACATTTGGGGCTAAGCCCAGGACAGGGGGTCTGAAGCTAGACACCTCTTGCAGGCAGGGTCTGTTGTAGATTTCTGGGACTACCGTGGCAACCAAGAGATGCCCCAATGGGATGCCCACATGTGCCATTTGAGGATTTCTGGACCCCTATCTCCATCTCCCAGCCTAGGGCTAAAAAATGTTTGTAGAAAAGAGAAAAGGGGTTGAAGGAGATTGAAAGGTTTTGGAACCATGAGACGGATGCATGGGCTCTGCCTCTACCAGCGTTTATGAGGACTGGTGACAGGCAAGGGACCAGAGACTCAGACCATCTCCCAGTACATACCTGCCTTCAATGGCCCCAGCCCTTGCTTTCTACCTAAGGCTGCCCTTGACACGTAGTCTGGCTGGATTCCGCCTTTGTGATCACTCATGGGAGCGAGGGTCACACATACCGTGTAATCTGCCCACATACTCTCAGGACGCTCCTGGTCTTTGTAAACATCACCTTAGAGAACCAGGGTCACAGTGGGTAGAGGTGCCTCCTGGGAGTGGGAGGGGGCAATAGTGCCCTTTGGGAAGGTCAGGCAGGAAGAAAAATGGCCCAGCCAGTGCATGAATCAGCCAAATGGTGCCCTGGAGACGTCTCAAGCTTTGCCACCTACTGGACGCAAGCGTCAGGGATTTGCACTCTGCAGGTCTGGGGGCTGGGGAAGGTGATATCCTTGAATGAGGAGCAGTCAGGGCAGCTCAAGGGAGACACAGCGCTACCAACCAACCAAGTCTGGCCTCCTGGGGATGTCAGAGAGAGGGAGAGAGAGCACTTTCCAGGCCAGTCGAGTGGCCATTGCTACCATTAGCTCTTTGGAAAAAGAAAAAGAAAATGTTTCTATTTTGTATTGGAGTACAGCCATTAACAATGCTGCCATAGTTTCAGGTGGACAGTGAAGGAACTCAGCCATACGTACACATGTATCCATTCTCCCTACCTTCAGCTCTTAATCAGAAGCACTGACACTCTCTATGCCAGACTCAGTTAAGGGTTTTACAAGCATTTTTTCAACTCATCCTCACCACGATCCTAGGACATAACTGTTTTTTCTTATTATTGGTTTATTTTTATTGAAGGATAGTTGATTTACAATGTTGTCAATTCCTGTTATACAGCAAAGTGATTTGGTTATACATGTATATATGTGTGTATGCACTCTTTTTAAATATTGTTTCATTATGGTATATCATGGGATATATTGTTAGTTGCAGAATAATTGTTTTACGATGTTGTGTTAGTTCCTGCTATAAACAGTGTGAATCAGCTGTATGGGTGCATACATCCTCGCCCTCTTGGGCCTCCCTCCCACCCATCAACCCACCTCTTTAGGCCACCACAGAGCACCTAGCTGAGCACCCTAGGTTCTACAGCAGCTTCCCACTAGCTATCTATTTTACACATGATAGTGTGTATATGTCAATGCTACTCTCTCAATTCATCCTGCCTTCTCCTTTCCCCACTGTGTAGGACGGAGCTTTTTTACCCTCATTTAATGGCTGAAGACATCTAGAGAAGTTAAGAAATTTGCCCATGATTCAAGTCGTTTAGTCAAGACTCCAACCCATGCTGTCTGGCCCCAAAACTTAAACACAAGCTTTTTCCCCTTCATCTGACTTCTCCTGCTCACCCCTCTATCTCAGCCTCCCCTCGACCTCAGCTTCTCTGGTGACTCTAGGATAGAATCCAGGCTCCCCGACACAGTTCAGAAGGGGTAGGCCTCCTCTTCCTCTTGAATATCCTCTTGCTACTTCTTCCTTCCCACCTTGCTCTGCGGCTCCTGGAACTGCTCCATCCTCCCAGACACGCTGGGCTTCCCCCACCCCAGGCCTCCATATATTTCTTTCTTCCAGATCCCCTGACCCCTCTGTCTGCCTAAGTCCTGCTCGTCCTTCAGGAATCAGCTCAGACACCACCTGCAGCAAGACTTCTTCCTCAACCACCCAGGCTGAGTGAGGTGCTCCTCATTCTGTTCCCATAGCCCCTTGCGGCAAATTCTACTCTATCCCAGACCACATTCTATTGTAGTGTTTATGTTTTTGCTTTCCTTTTTCACCCAGGCTGGTCTCTAAGGTACACAAGAGTCGTGACTGTACCTTCCACATGTTCTAACTTCCATAGAGCCTGGCTTCTAATACGAGCTCAATACATGTTTGCCCAATCAAGTTCATCAGCAAATGTGAATCCCCCAGTCCTTTGTACTTGATGAAGCTCAGTCCAGAGGCAGAAAGATCTACAGAAGATTCATCTTTCTCACTTGTCTGTTACTCATCAAGCTACCATCAATCCCTACTGACAGTGGGCTTTGCCATCAGAAGAATGGGAAAAATGCAAGAGATGGGGGAGATGGAGGTGGGCAGCCATGGGCTCTCTCTCTCTGCCTTCTTAACTCAGCTTTCAACGTCATTCCCTCAGAAATTCCTGAGTCGGTGAACCACCCACCCACCTGCTGCCTGAAGTATCATGAGAAAGTATTGCCAAGAAAACTGGTGGTGGGATACAGACGGGCCCTCAACTGTTACCTGCCAGCAATCATGTAAGCACGGTCCTGCAGACATTTACAGGGAGAGGGAAGGGGAGCCCAAGGCTGGATCGGGGCACACAGAACCAAGTCTCCATGCTAGAACCGGGGCACAGCAGTTAAGGGCCTGGACTTTGGCTCTCACGGGACAGGCCTGGGTTTTGTTCTAGGCTTTGCCACTTACAGAGGCACATGGCTGGTTCATGTGGTCCAAGAAACGGTGGCCATAGAGGAACCCAAGCCTGAGGGTCTAGGCTGAATGGAGAAGGGCTGAAAGAAGAGGTGAGGTCTAGAGGCCGGGGGGAGGGGGCACTTTTTGAGGGGACCCAGACCGGGGGAGGCTTAGGGAGGTGGTACAGGACGTGAGGCAAGCCCCTGGTGAGCTAGAAGTGGGGGCGTGTGGACTGCACCCCTAACTGCTCCGGGGCCCCTGACGGTCTAACTCTGCCCCCACAGCTTCATCACCAAGCGGAAACGAGAGGTCTGTACCAACCCCAATGACGACTGGGTCCAAGAGTACATCAAGGATCCCAGGCTTCCTCTACGGCCTTCCAGGAGGTTGGCCTAAGTTAACATCACTAGATGGGAGGAAGGTCAAGCCCAGATCCACACCTCATCGTGGTGGTCAGGCCTCCAACGGAGCCCAAGTTCGACGGGGGGAAGGTGTAACCCTGTGAAAACACAGGCAACCTTGTGGTCTGAATGACAAGAGTCGCCTTCAGAGAAACAGGCCAGAGATTCAAAAAAGTAAAGCATTTCGAATATATTCTCAGTCTCCGGAGGAAATGCCAAGGTTGAGAGAGGAGGGCAGGGATACATTCTTAACGCCTAGCACAGCACATTCACATCCTCCTCCTTGTCCTGCTTTCAGACCCTCACCTCCCTCCAGTGCACCAACCCGTCCTGAATGATCATGTCCCACTTCCCAACAGCCGAACCACCTCTGGCTCTCTCTGGCTTCCCACTCATTAAGAGACTCACGGGACTCGACTTTTCTTGTCCACCCTTATCCTTTTTCTAGATCTCTTTTTTCTTCCCTTATGCTTTTCTTTTAAAACCTAACCTTTTGGGACTTCCCTGGTGGTCCAGTGGCTAGGATTCCGTGTTCCCAGTGCAGGGGGCCCAGGTTCAATCCCTGGTCAGGGGACTAGATTCCACATGTTGCAACTAAAAAATCCCTCATGCCACAACTGAGACCCAAGGCAGCCAAATAAATAAAAATTAAAAAAAAAAAAACAAGAAAACCTTAACTTTTCTTATAGAAATAGTCAAATGCTAACGATTTTCTTTCCTGTTGCTGAGGCTTTGCTGAATTCCCCGATATTGGGTCTTCCCCAGGGTGATGTGGGTGCAGGTGGTGCTGAAACAAAAGAGGAGGTGTCAATCCCTAGGTCCCTCCCACTGTAAGCTTTGTAGGAGGGGGAAGGGCATTTGGCTAGGCTGGGTGTAAAAATCCTGGTCCGAAATTCAACCATTCAGCAAACACAACTTCCTTTATTGACAACTTTTTTGTAACTCCCTGCCAGAAAGGATTTCTGCTGGGATGGCAGAAACTCAATCTCAGTTTTTTCAGGGTCTTCTCCACATTCCCCCAAGAAATTTCTCCATTTGGGGAACTGTAGCTTTTACATGGCACCAAGGCCAGAAGTGGGGGGCTTCCCTGGTGCCTCAGCTAGTAAAGAATCTGCCTGCAATGTGGGAGACCTGGGTTTGATTCCTGGGTTAGGGAAGATCCCCTGAAGAAGGTAATGGCACTCTACGCCAGTATTCTTGCCTGGAGAATTCCATAGACAGAGGAGCCTGGCAGGTAACAGTCCATGGATCGCTAAAAGTAGGACATGACTGAGTGACTAACACTTTCACTTTACTTTTTTTCCAGACAGGGATTAATTTTCCCCCTCCTCCCTACCTCTCTGTCCCCAGCTCAACAATAGGGAGTGGACTCAGACAAAATCTAACATTCCCCCAAAATGGTGTTGTGAAGGCAAAGCAAAATCAGGCAACTAAAGCTATATAATTAGAGAAACGAATTTGGTGAAGCGATCACTGGGAAGTCTGGTCTTCCAATGACTTGGATTCTGCTAAACTGACCCAAGCCTGCCCCCAGTGGCCCCCAGTGGCCCCCAGTTGCACTACATCATCCTACCTCCCTGCTCCCCGACCCCAACTGAAGCTAACCCACCCAGACGCCCCCCTGACTCCAGCTGACCAATCAGACTCTCTCTTAGATGAACTTCGGACCTGAGAAACCAGCACTCGGGCATTGTCCCAAGGGAAGAGGGCTATGAACTCGTCCACTGAAGCCCCCGGAGCTGCCCTGTCCCTCCTTCAGGCTTGGAGGTTTGGCTAACCTCAGTTCCATGAGATGCCCCAGTGTTCTTCCCACTATTCCTGTTTCTTTTGTTTGCTTGTTTGAATTCCTAAAGGACCAAGGTGGCATTTAGCACCTCTGCAATAACTTTCTGTTGGTTTAGGTCAGTTCTGCTGTGTGTTCACACGTACCCAACATTTTTACTGGATTTGAGTGTACAATTCAGTGGCACTGACTACTTCCACACTGTCGTGCAACCACCACCACTATCCACCTCCAGAACTTTTTCCCTACCCCAGACTGAAACCTCTCTTCCCTGTAAACAATAACTTCCCCCTCCCCCCTCCCCCCAGCCCTTAGGAACCACTATTCTACTTTCTGCCACTAGGGACTTGATTCCTCTAGGTATCTTTTATAAATGGAATCATACAGTATTTGACTTTTTGAAACTGGCTTATTTTACGTAGCACAGTGTTTTCAAAATGTATCCATGTGGTCAAGATTTCATTCCTTGCTAGGCCTGAATGATATTTCATTGTATGTATCTACCCAGTTTTGTTCATTCTTTAATACGTCCACGGGTGTCTGGGTAACCCCTTTTCTTTACACGAGCTTGAGTTAGCAGGTCTTAGCTTCTGTTATTTGTGCCAAAAGCACTTCAACTCCTGTAGTGACCTGTCAATCACCACACTGGCCAGGCAGGAGCTTGAGGCCGGTAAGGGCCTCAGACTCCGACCCTCCCCTTTGTCCCGGACAGAGGTCAGTGCTCCCTTCTCGCCCCTCCCAGGCTGTGAGCTCCTACTTCTTGATCCAGGGATTTCTGTCCATGATTCCTGCGATCAAAGCTAACTGTAACCAAACATCTTCCAGGAGCTCACAGCCCAGGGATGAGAGAATCGCCAACAGATACAACATAGCCAGGCTGGACCTTTGCTTGCAGGAGCTGGAGTGAACCTGGAAAGGTGGCAGGGCTTGGATTGATGCAGGAGCCAGACCACATTCCATGTGTACAGCCAAGCAGGAGGTTTCAAAGTCCTTAGCCAGCGCCAGGGTCAAAATCAGTGAACTCGAGTTCAAAGGCCTGAAGGACAAGCTGAGGCTGAAAACAGGAAGCACAGGCCAGCGCCAGGATTCTAGCAAGCTGGAATGGAAATGTCATCATGTGTCTTTTTTTTTTTTTAATCTATCAAAAGAGTTCAGAGTTGAGATGTCAGTCCAAAAATCTACTTGAAAAATCTATAGACAAAGTCGAATTCTCATCCCAGCACATAATAATAAACTGCCAGAAACTCCCAGTGGTTCAGAACCAAAAGTAATTTATCTCAGGTGCAATCAACTGTTTTGTTTTTGTTGTTGTTGTTGGGGTTTTTTATTTGTTTTTTATTCGAGTGTAATTGCTTTACAACATTGTGTTAGGTTCTGCTGTACAATGAAGTGAGTCAGCTGTACATATACATATATCCCCTTCCTCTTGAAACTCCCTCCCACCCCAACCCCATCCCACCCTCACAGAGCACCAGGCTGAGCTCCTCTGTTACACAGGTTTCCACTAGCTATCTATTTCAAACATGGTCATGTATTTATGTCAAACCTAAACTCCCAATTCATCCCACCCTCCCCTTCCCCCTCTGTGTCCATCAAAGGGCTATTCCTAATCTTTTCAAGGTAGATAAATGCCTGGCTTTCAACATAACACATGTGCACACAGACGCACACACAGGAAAGATCTCCTCATTCTGATCCATAGGCGTCTCCCAACCCTGATCAGTCTGATCAATCAAAGGGATTCATCCACATTAATGTATGCCTAGACAGCTTATGTGACTGTCAGCCTTGCGGAACCAAGGTGACTGACTGGTAGCGGGTGGACAATAAGGCCCGGAATAGCAGGGTTTCCACTCATCTGTCAGAGAAAAGGGTAGAAAGGGGTGAAGGCCACACACAGCAACATGAGGGGACCAGTGGGTGGGACAGGAAGGGGGAAAAGTAAGGAAGCAGCCCTGGGCAGCACAAGGAGCATTCTACCCGGAGTCTAGGAGTCTGGCCGGCACATCCCCTCTCGTGAGTCCCCTCTGCATGCCATCCCCCCTGTGCACCATGAGAATTTAGACCAGATGACCAGATGTCCTGCAGCTAGCTCTGGCTGGCCTGTAAGAAATGTTATTCAGCCTTCGAGGCAACGTCCCGAAGCCAGCCAGAAGGGCATTTCCCCTCTGTAGGGAAGAACGCGTGTGCGCACCTGTGTGCGGGCAACCACTGAGAGTCGTCAGCAGCCTGAATGAGGATCTGCGGGACACAGTCGATATGCTGGTTTAAAAACTTTGTCTCAGGACTTCCCAGGTGGTCCAGTAGCTAATTCTCCACTCAACGCAGAGGGCCTAGGCTCGACCCCTGGTGGGGGTACTAGATCCCCCATGCCACGACAAAGAGTCCGCAGGTCAAAATTTTAGATCCCCCAGGCCACAGATGCAGGGGGGAGAAAGGCTAAATTAAAAAAATAAAAGCATTTTCTCCACACGCAGGCAAATCCAGGTTCAGATCTCAACCCTGTCTCTTAACTGAGATGGTAAAATGTCGCTATTCTGTTATCAGCTACGACGAGAATCCCTCTCCTGCAGGGAAAAAGATCATGTTTAGAAAATGTGTCTGCAACCCCAGTGAAGGCAAGAAATGCCCCCAGGACATGGATGTGTGTGTGTGTGTGTGTGTGTGTGTGAGAGAGAGAGAGAGAGAGAGAGAGAGAGAGAGCCTCTCAGTCATGTCCGACTCTTCGTGACCCCATGGAGCCTGCCAGGCTCCTCTGTCCATGGAATTCTCCAGGCAGGGATAGACTAGGGTAAGATTTCAAGGGGAGGGATGAAGTCACTCTGAGTGAGCTAAGAAAAGGGACCATCTGGTCTTTGAAAGCCAGAGGTGGGACACAGGGCCGGCGTCCCTGGACCAGAGACCAAAACCTGTGAAGTCAGTCATCGGGGATTCACAGAAGTCTTGTGGAAGCTTTGATCGCCCCTAGATTGGAGAATGGCAGAAGTGGAAAGACTTCGAGGCAGCTCTCAAGATCAGGGATGTGACTCAGTGTCTACTTTAGGTGGGGTGGTGAGGAAAGGCATTACTGAGGAGGTGACGTGCCCCTTGAGAACTAAATGACTGGTGGGAATCAGTCACGCCAGGACCAGGGGAAGGAAACTTTGCAGGCAAGACTTCTGCAGTAGTTAACAGTCTGCCTGCCAATGCAGGGGACATGGGTTCAATCCCTG